CTCCCTGACGACAGCGTGTGGAGTTCATGTTGAGGGTCCAGGCTGGACCCGACTACTCCTGAGCCCCGAGCCTGAACAACTACGCTCGCCCACTACCCTACAGCATTTTGATAAACACAGCCAAAAGGGCAGGTGTCCCTGTAACTCTAACACTTGGGCAAAGAGAGGCAACAATCCACACGCCTCCCTTAACAGGACAAAGTCAAGGACCCTGCAAAGGACCCAGAGACAGAGGTCTCACCCTTGCAAGCACATTAGAAATCACCCAAATGAGATTATGTTGCGGGCGCGGGCAATGACAAGCCCACCTAGTGCCCCGGCGTCAGGATGTCTTACAAGGTCCCGGCGACTCAGACACAGAGCTGACAACCATGACTCCATCTCCGATAGGGACCCACAAGACCATCGCTGGCAGGTAGGGGTCTTCTTTCTCTCACTTCCGCTTCCTTCCCAAGGCCTCGCTCTTGGGAATGACATGGTGCCACAGAGGCAGTAAACAACAGTGCTAACAACCAAGTATGCTCCAGGCACGGCACAGAAAGCCCAGCAACAGACAGGACTTGGTGAGAAATAAAAATCAAAAGGAAAATGCATTGGCAAGAGGCTACAAAGCCAAGCTCCACACATATGGATTCACAAACACTGCTACATACACCACACTTTTTCTGGCTCCTTTTTGTTTTTTCAAGAAAAAAAAGAAAAGAAAAGAAAAGAAAGTCGTACTTTCAAACAAGTAACTCTGCACAGGCATGTGTGCCCCAAATGTCAGGAATGAGATGCTAAGGAAATTCTTTCCAACATCTGGGAGTGATCTGGTACCACACATCACTGCTTCCATGGGCTCCCCTTCAAGATCAGAGGAGAATGAGCAGACATGCCGACGCACTCACAGTTTTTCTCTCACGTTAAGCGTGATCGGAAACCCACTGGTTTGTTTCCAGGGGAACGCCATGTTCCTGAGCACAGTGTGGGTCGGACAACCAGGACGGGCAGAAACGATGGGTAAAAGATGGTCACGAACATACAGCCCTCCTCCGATACCCAAATCCCGGCACAACAGACGATTAAGCATAGTGCGGAGGGGTCACCTTCTGTTCTCGCAGCTCTCCACCACCACGAGAGAGAAATCACACCAGTCTTCAACATGGCCCCCGAAGACTGCAGGCAGGAACCCTGCAACTCCTGGATCTTAAGACACGCACACACACGCTACCTTCCCACAGGCGTGGGTGCGTGGGACGCGTCGGACTTGCGGCAAATACTGCAGTTACAAACAGCCTCAAAACCAAAATCCCAGGGAAAGGATTTTACTCAACACAACCTACATGACATTAGTCAAAGCCATCTGACAGTTTTACAAGCGCCTGACTTGAGGCCCTCTGTTAGTGAAACCTCATACTACTGTAGCATTTCCCCTCCCCTTCTCCCATCTCCCCAGATGCATCTCTTTAGGCTCTGCCAAACAACTGGCTCCAAATGTGTTTGTTCTGTGCTTCTTTGTTTTTCCCCAAAGGGGGGAAAAATTAATGGTCAAGTAGGTTTAATTTTTAAATCCTCACGAAGGCTTTCCGACGCACTGCCCTGAGAACAAGCGCAAATGGAATGCGCTCAGAAATGGTTGCACGGGGAACACACAGCTTAGGAGCCAGGCCTCGGCTCCAGCCAGCCCTCACGCTCCGTGGACGTCAGAAGTTTCGTTTATTCAGCAAGAGTAACTGTATTAACAGCTCCAGCCCCTTCTTGTCACCGCAGTAAACATCCACGCATTCCAATCCTGGAAATGTGAGGCAGTCTAGAAAGAGGAGGCTGGGGCTGCCCAAGGCTCCGCCACGGTGGCTCAAAACGCGCAGGCGCCAGCTGTCTGTTCCAAGCACGTATGGAGACATCCACTGACAGGGACGGACGCAAGCATCCGAAAGCAGGTACATCTCCTGAGTGGGATGGAGTTTCAGAAGACAGGGTAGCTAGAGCAGACCGGTGAGGCCACCTTTCACCATTACGGCAGCTGGCAGCTCTGTAGCACATGGCCAGAGAGTCACACCACCACAGCACTTCAATGATTGCTACCGCGCTTCTCTCCCCATCCCCCCACCCCCGCTTTGGCTTACGATTTATGTATTTATTTGAAAGGCAGAGTGACAGAGAGAAAGAGAGGGAAAGGGGGAGGTAGATCTTCCATCTGCCGGTGCATTCCCCACAGGGCTTGCCAACAGCTGGGGCTAGGCCAGGCCGAAGCCAGGGACCAGGAATTGCATCCGGGTCTTCCGCTGGGGTGGCAGGGACCCAAGAACTTGGGCCATCCTCTGATGCTTTCCCAGGCACACTAACAGGGAGGCAGAGCAGCCAGAACGCAAACCAGTGCTCATCTAGAATGCCAGCTGCACAACCCATAGCTTAACCCACGGCGCCACAACGCCACAACGCCAGCCCTGCCACAGGTTTTAAGCACAGGTTTCTCTTTTTTTTTTCTTTCCCCTAAATAATCCTACCTCTTACGAGAGGCTCAGGTTCAAAGTCAAAACTGAGCAGACTCCTAGGCAAAGTGAAAAATATTTTACCCAAGGCTCACAGCTGCTCCAGAAAGCTTGTGGCTCATTTTCTGACATCCGCCAGCCAGGGAGGTCACACTGTAGGAACCCAGCCCTGCCCCATGACAAGCAACGCTGACGGGGGCAGAGTCCTCGCTGGGACACAGGAAGACGGCCTGTCGCCCTGGTGAGTCCATTACCCAGCTATCAGAGAAGCTGGCTTGCGAGTCGATGAACATCAACCCCTACTCTTCCCACATCTTGTTCTCTTCCTGGCAATTTGCACCTAAACTCATTAACCGTGACCTTATTTGTGTTTTGGTTCCTTTTTCATACTTTCCACACTGAGGTGTCGGCCTGACACCCTTTTCCCACCACTTCTGCTTCGGGAAAAAATCTAAGAGAAAGCAAACTGTGCACAACCCAAGAGCACAAGAGCTTGTTCCCCAACCAGCACTGCTGGCACCGGCGAGCGTCTCAGACAACCAGGATGGGAAGGCTGCAATGCCAGTCCCTCCTCCACTAATTCTTCCCCGTGTGCGTTTGCAGCATTGCTCTGCACGGCTTCCTGGAGTATCTGAAAAAAAACCCGAATGCACGGGAACTATCCCTTTCTCTTTGACACAGAGGAGAGCTCACCCCAGTGAGTACTGGGCTTCCCCACCCTGCCTCGCCGGCTCCCTCTCGGAGTATCAAGCCTTTACTTTCTCTTACCGAAGCTCTCTACAAAACCATGTTCCATCTAATCATGGCACTTCTGGAAGAGGAAGTGTATTTTCTGTAATATTAACAACGCAAGGCCGGCGCCGCAGCTCACTAGGCTAATCCTCCGCCTAGCGGCGCCGGCACACCGGGTTCTAGTCCCGGTCGGGGCGCCGGATTCTGTCCCGGTTGCCCCTCTTCCAGGCCAGCTCTCTGCTGTGGCCAGGGAATGCAGTGGAGGATGGCCCAGGTGCTTGGGCCCTGCACCCCATGGGAGACCAGGAAAAGCACCTGGCTCCTGCCATCGGATCAGCGCGGTACGCCAGCCGCAGCGCGCTGGCCGCGGTGGCCATTGGAGGGTGAACCAACGGCAAAGGAAGACCTTTCTCTCTGTCTCTCTCTCTCACTGTCCACTCTGCCTGTCAAAAATAAATAAATAAATAAAAATTAAAAAAAAAAAAAAAGAACGCCAAGGTTGCCAGAAGAATCTGTCTTTCTATCTTGAAACGGCCCGAGCTGCTTCCTGCCGTCCAGCAGTGCACTGACTCCCGCCGCCTGGTTTCTTCCTTCAGCTCTGTTCTCTGCATTCACTCCCCAGCTGGCCACTGCCCTGCATCACTTCTCCTCCACCAGGGCTTGCCCGGCAGTTACTTACTGCCCGCTGTCTGCTCTCCCGTCCATCAGCCCCTTCCGCACACACCTCCCCCTCTCCCGGTGAGTTTCAGCCCTCAGCTTTTCCCCTTGATTGGGAGGAAACTAACGAACGATTCTGAGTCTCAGACCCTTCTTGTTCCCTTCATCCTTGCTTTCTCCCCGCCCCCGTCCTCCACCAGGATACTGACCACCACCATCTCCTTTAACCGCAGCCTTGAACCTCAGCCGATCTAGCTTAAGGGAACAAAGATCCCCCCTTCGTTTTCCTTTGTCCACTGCTGTACCCTGGCCCATGCTTCTTTATTTTTTCCAGTCTACCCATTCCTCAGTGGAGCAGGAAGTTCTCTCCTAAGTACTTGGTTTTCAATTATCTGTTAGCCTGTTAATGACCCCGGCCACCTTAAACAACTCTGTATGTGATAACCGCGAGCTGTGGTCTGCAGCCACCATCAGCACTCATGTGCTCTGATCTATACTTCCAGCAGCAATGACCGATTAATCCTGACCGCTTTCTCCTGTACCTTTTTCTCTCGTGACTAATGGACTGCACTCGCCAAATGGCTTCACTGAGCGAAAGGGCAGCAGAGGTTCTGCGTCCCTGGCCACGCAGGGGATGACCGGCTCCACCAGGGCCTGGGCCTTTGACCGAGGCTTCATTAGCTCTGAGCGCCAACCAGCCACGAGCGCATCAGGACGATGGCCGGCACCACGCACAAGAACCCCTGCTCGATCCAGAGGGCGAACGCGAGGCTCCACAACACACACACAGTCGTGCCAAGACGCAGTGTGGGAACACAGAGAAAGCGCGACCTCCCTCCTTCGCGCGTGTCCAGGGCACCTTTTTGGGGGAGGCTGGCCGCGACCCTGCCTCTCACAAAGCTTCCACGTTAACGCTCGGCGTGGAGAGCTTCCCTCAGGGGCACTCCACTCACCCCCAACAGCAGCAGCCACAAACAAGACGACACACACAGTTTTGATTTCAACAAAAACCCAAACGGCAGAAAATCCGCTTTCTTTTCTTCTCTGGGCACCGAAAACCAAATCCCCCTCAGAGAGAGACAGAAAGGCATCAGGGAGGAGGGCGTGGAGAAAAAGATAAAAATAAATTGTATTTACCTTCTTCTGTTTCATGCCACACGATCCCTTCCAAATTCACACTGGTCCCGGGTTCACAGGGCCCGAGACACTCTGGCTCTGTGACTACTCCAACTTCACACGTATTGACACCCACAGACCGAGTCCGAACCAAAAGCTGTTCAACCGGTGCTGCAATATTGGATGATGGGGAAAAGTAGGAGGGCAGAATCTGAGGCGTGAGACTGCTGGCAATCGGCGGCGGTGGTGCTGGCACTGTAAACAGGGGGTCAACCTGAAAGACAGACAGACTTACTGCAGTAGCGCTGTATTCCACGACTTCTGTTCAATGCAATCTGCTCACATCACGTCAACAACGTATCACCACTCCACATGCCATGTGCAATTCTAATATAAGGTTCAAGGGTGCCAAAATACAAAGCACAAGAGAAAAATGAGCATTGGGGGTTTTTCTTTTTTATTTTTCATGTCAAACGAGGTAAACACAGGAGCACCCGCTTCCTGAATTACAGGCAGCCCCTTCTAAAACTCCTCAGGGGACAACCTCTAGCCTTGGCAGATGTGAATGAATTACACTTGGCAGAATTCAAGACTGTTTCCCGCTTGTAGAAAAACCTTATTTTCAAAATACGAACATTTTCCAAAGGAGAAACTCCAATAAGTACCCATCAACAGTACACATACATTCTTGGACATTTAAGTACCAGAGATGGACTAAAATTGTTCTCAAAGCACTTTATAAATCATAATGAATTAAATCAGTACTAAAATACATTAACTTACTCCGCTGAATATATAAAATACATAATCTTGATTACACACACGAAAACACATCAACTGGGTATTAGCAGCAGGTATTCAGCATCAAGTCCTAATAGAGCACTCTACTGCACAGCTGAGCAGAGTCCACACAGGAGGGGAAATAAACGCGTGTGCTGGGCATCAACAGCACTCAAGTTACTCCCACGCACGTGTCCTTGGATCGCTCCCAGACACCTGGGACCGATGCTCGGCGGCCCTCGCTCTCAATTTGGGAAACAGAAACGGGAGCCAAGTACAAGATCTCGCCGTGCAGTGAAACCTCTGGGGCACCCCTATCCCCAGAACAGCAGCAAAAGGAGTTCCTCACTACAGAAAGCAGAGAAGTCTGGACATCACACAACCAAAGCCTACGCAGGTTCAACAGGCAGACCCCCCAACCACCCCCGTCATTCATCTGGCCCACTTTCACAAGCGCCAGGACTGCTGTAGTATGGCTGTGACCTGCTGGTGGGTTCCTGGTTGTGAGAAAGTCACAGACAGAGCACTTCTGCACCAAGACTCCAGACTACCTATGGCCTTGTGATGCACACAGACTCAGCCTACGCATAGCAAAACACCCGCACGGATTTCCAGCTGGGCTCACAAATCACATACGCACAAATCATGTATATACAAGGACACTTAGAAGAGGTCATTCTAGTACAACACCATCCTCTCTACTGTTCCTATATTCCCAGTTATCCTTCTCATCTTACGTAGCTGCTTGGCTACTACGGTCATCTTAGACAGTCTTTGTTGTTGAAGAGACAAAACAGAGAGAGTCCATTTTCAAGAGAGTGCATGAGGAACCGTGCTCCTGTTACCCGGTTGAGGCTGTCAGCTGTGTGCGCTATGACGGCAAGAGCTATTCCTACAGCTTGCAGCTCACTAAGATGATAAAGTGGTGTTCGCCTGCCTGAGTGATCCAAGACCCAGTCGAACAGCCCTGCGCCCATCTGTATGGCAAAGAAACTTAATTTCCTGCTCTCAAAGCTGCCATAAAATTCCTTTTGCGCCACACTTTTTATTGTCCTGCATTCTTGATCACAGAGACCAAGAAATGAAAGCCTTGAACAGTCCCAAATCCCAGAGATGGTGATTTATGCTTTGTGTAAACGCCACTTAATGTGGACCGAAGTTAGCACTGATAGTTCCTATTTTAAAACCGGGCTGACACATGAAGAAAAAGGATCTAAGGGAAATTTAAAGGGGGGGGGGGGGGGTCCAACACTATCCTGCAGTCTTTATAGCAACTAAAGCATTGTCCCAGAATAGAATCACTTTCCAGAATTTTTTTTTCATCAAAAAAAAAAAAAAAAAAGGGTCAAGCAAAATTATAAATCAGCTACTGTCTCATTTTTTTCTTGCATGCTTCCCAACATCTTAATTTGTACAGGTAGTTGTAAAGTGACAGCAACTTGATGCCACACATGCCAACGCAAAGACAAAATGGAACGAGATGCTGACGTCATTCTTTGAAGGACTTGCTCCAGGGCCCCTGAGAATACCAAGAGAACAAACTTGAGCTTCACTGGACGTGCAAGGAATGGAATGCACTGACAGTTTTACAAAACACCATTTCTCTTGGTCTGGGGACGAGGACACTCGTGAGCAGTTAACGCAACAGCAGTGGGCTGTGGGCACACCAAGATTTTGGCCCCAGCTTCGACACTAATTAGCCTGCGACCTTGGAGAGTCACTTAACTTCTAAGGGACCCACTTTCCTCAACCGGAAAATACATCTGTCAACCCTCACACAGTGATGAGAAACCGTCTAACAGAGCTCCTACACTGAAAACCCAGCTCCACCTTGTGCACACATACACACACAAAGAACTCGAGATATTTAGCAGGGGGACATTCCCCCTAGAAGGTTCCTGTTCTGCGTATCTCACGGGGTCAGACACAATGTCACATGTACTGTACCTACAGCAAAACGTTCACAAGATTTTAAGTAGTTTTTTCTGCCTTACATAAAAGACCCACTCCTCTGCACCCTGATTCTCAGGCCAGGGGTCCATACACTGATACTTAATTTCTTCAACCAACGAGGCTCACTGAAGCAGGGGGACGACGGCGTCCACTGGGCTCCCTCCCACAAGGAGCCAGCACAGCAGGGTGCTGTGTGCAGGCCAGGCAGGGGTTCAAATCCTGCCCCCACCAGCGTGGGACCCTGAGCACGTGCCAGAGCTTTGCGAAGGCCCAGTGTCTGGATCCAAGAAGTGGGCCTGACACCTACCAGGACCCCCCAAGTTGCAGCAAGGAGATGATGCAGCCAGTTCGTGAAGAGCGCGATGTGCGGCTGTACAGAAACCCTGACTTGAAAGAAAAAATAGTCCCTGGCCTGATATTACAGTTCCCTAACTCTGCACACCACCTTACAAAGCTGCTTTTCATAGCCTACTATATTTAACATAAATCCATAATCCCCTCCACATGCGTGGGGAAGTGCGGCTAAAGTATGTTAAAAGCGTAAGGAAAAGGGCTCACCCCTGAGCAGCTCAGCCCGGGGGATGCCGCTTCTTTCAAACACTGCATCTGGCAGCCGTTGACTGGCCTAATCCATCCCCACGTTGCAGCAGCGAGGGCATCTTCATGAAGCCCAGAGTGCGTCCCACACCTCTGCAAACTCTTCCTGCCGACGCGAGGCCACCTCTTCCTCGTGCTCACCCACACCTAGGGCCACATCCACTGCAGAACTAATGACATGACTGCACACCTGCTGGGGGCCTGGCGCTGAACCACCTGCCCGAACCACAGTGGGCCAGGCTGCTCAGGTCCCTGCTCGTTGGACCTGACTATGCGGTGGGCCCGACTATGACACCAACCAAACCATCACACAGCTACAGCACAATGCCAACAGCAAGTGCAGAAGTGCATGCGAGGGACTGGCTGCAGGGGCCCGGGCGGCAAGAAAAGCCAGGGCGGTGTCCCCATCAGTCTCAGGAGGTGTGATCCCAGCTCTCCCGGTGGCTACAGCATCTCGTTTATTCTCCCCATGAAATGCAAACAGCACCTGGCTGGCTTGATTGTACAGGGCCTGGTAACCAGGAGCAGTCAGCCAACAGTCTCATTATCATGACTGCAAATACCTGTGAGATGTGAACCAAAAGGAAATCGATAGGTCTGACCCCGGAAGGTGGAAGGCGAGAATCCGCTCTATCCAAGGGCAGTTCAACAGACACGTGACGGACACTTGTAATGGGGGAGAAGGGTGGTATGGTTCTAATCAGAGATCCCTCGTTCACAGATGGGCTAGGATTTGGGATCTGGGAATACGAATAACTGGAGCAAAGGCACAGAACAGAGCCCTGGCCCACTGGGGGCACAGTTCCACAGGCACGGCTCTTTCCTGTCATCTTGACGGGACACTGATGTGACCTATGAGAAGGAAGCAGAGCCCAGGTCTCCAGCGGGGAGGAGCTGGAAGAGAGGGCCCTCGGTCTCACAGCTGGTGGCGGCAGCCTGTCAAGCAGGGGGAAGCAGGCCCTCGCTGTTATTTTTGCATGATTATTCCCAGGTGTGGGCACGCGCTGCGCAGTAGCCCAAGTATTTACGACGCCCCAGAGGCCAGGGGCACGGGCGGGAGGTTGGCCGGGGGGACCCAGGGAAACAGCGGGGCTCTGGAGTCAGGGGCTCCCCGGGCGCTGCCCATCAAGGAAGGTTCCAAAGCTGGAGTGGAGATGGCAGTGGCAGCGGCACTGCCCGGGCAAGCCTCTGGCTGTCAGCCGGGGACGATTGCGGGGGGAACCGGAAATTGACAGCAAAAGAGGAGGGAGCCACAGGGGCAGGGCTGGGGGCTCCCATCCCAGCCAAGAGATACACATGGGGTGATGCAGCTGCCCTGCGCTGCCAGCAGAGAGCTGCTGAAGACGAGGCAGCGCCCCAGGTTCCTTCCCTCTGCGGCCACACATCCACACCCACCCTGCTACTGACCCCTGAGCCCTAGGAATCGCCGACTGCCCACAGCCCAGGGGTGGGGATGGGGTGTGGTGGGGGCAGGGTTCTTTTGCTAGGCTCTGATTCAGTGTTTTTATATTCTGATGACTTCATGCTTTTCTCTGCATCCTGGCATTTGGCTGTTTGGTGAGACGGTACAGTCACCTCTTCAGCTCCAAATCAGGAGACAAGAGACTGCACTGCTGGGTACGAGAAATCACCACCATTTAGAGGTGAGCACTGGACAGACCCTCACTCTGCCTTCTAACCACCTTTCCTGCCGGACGGCGCGGCTTCATCAACAAAGACAAGGGGAGCTTACAAGACTGTTTCCTCAAATCCGGCACAGATCTTTCCTCCAAAGTTACTCACTGTCTATCCCTGCTGGGTAGACATTCCCAAGTCTGCCTTTCCTACACGTGATGGGGCTTCTCCTTTTAAAGCCACAGTTAAAGCAGTTTCTTTACAGTTTTGCCGCATAAACAAACAGCACGGGCCACTTACTACTAAGGAGCTAAGGCAGCATCCCCGATCCGTACAGGCAAGAATGAGACATTTCAGAGGATGAGTAATTATTTCAAGGAGCTGAAACCCAAGGCCAAAGCGCTTCGGTTTCAAAGTCCAAGGGATTCCTCCTAAAGACAGACCCATCGGCAGCCGCTGCTGAACACACGAGCCACCCAGAGACGTCTGTCACAGAAGAGAAGGAAAACCTGGAGAAAGCTTAGTAGCTGAAAAGGTCACCCAGGGTCGACATGGCAGAGCTAGAATTGGAACCCACAGTTGTCTAAAACTAAAACAGAATATGACATGGAAAGAAAGCTTCCTGCGGAGTGTGGACCAGCGCCTCTCTGCTCTGCAAGCAAACTCCGTGAGCCCTGCACAAAGTTTGCTTAAAGACCCCGCTCAAACCAAAGCGGGGGTTGGCTTCTCTTGCTGTTGTGATTTTAAGTCATCCAAGTTTAGAAGCCACAACTAGGGACACACTGGGAGTGACATCACTACTTTCCATCTTCTTACTACCAGCTATGAAGAAGCAGCTGACCAGGTGCTGAGCCCAGGAGAAGCCCATGGCTCCCATCCCAGGGTCAGCGGGGCCAAGCGGATGCTTCCACTTCCAGGCAGAACCCTGGCCTTACAGGATGCCAACAGGGGTCTCTGGAATGCTGCTCTGGGGAGTGAAAGTCACCCCAGAAGTGGCCTCTGTGCAGTTCACGGAGTGGAGGCCCACAGGGGCCAGCCACATGTGTCAGAGTTGTTCAACAGCATGACTACCCTGAACTTCATTCCCCAGCCAAGCACAAGGCACTGAGCACACGGAGACAGTGTACAGTGCAAACTCCTGCGCGCAATGGCTTCAGCCTCATCTGTCCAGCTCCCCAGCACAGCCACGGAGCTGGGTGGGGAGTGGACACAGTTCTCAGGGGCCCTGAGGACTCAGCCACAAGACCACACCAGCTGTCACCCACTTAGCATCGCCTGTGTCCTTTGAAAAAATCCTGCCCCTCTGCCAGATACTTCATCCGTCCCTGCTCAGAGAGCTGGGCAGGCCGTAAATAGCAGTGATGGCCAGTGTTCTCCTATCTCGTTCCTAAGTGGGCTCTAATTTCCAAGACACTGAAAGCACCAGCCGCCAAGAAAGAAGAGCACCAGCAAAGCCACGGTTTGGGTTAACCCTTCCCACCCGTCCTTGCGTTTCTACAACGCTGACTTCCCAAGTGCACACAAATTCCATCTCAACCAAAGAAACCTTGTTCCCAGTGCCCTCAGAAGGGGACTTTGTAAAGATGAAGCTCGGCGGATGCTCCTGGACTTGGGTGTACAGATCAAGGTCCCAGCGTTTGAGAGCAACGCCCATTTCGGCAGGCGGGGGCCGGAGGTGAGTACACCGGCCCCCTGCGTGGCTGCTCGCTCGTTCCTCCCCCAGCCAGGATGAAAGCAGCAGAAGCTGCAGGGCTCACCCTTCTGGAAGCCGGCAGGATTCCTCTGGACACAGGCATGGCTTCACGGAGGGAGAAAGGAGACAAGAAAAGGAAAGAAAAGCCTGTTTGAGAATCATCATTTCCAATCTTCTCCACTAACAGCAGCTCTTTTCTTGACCTTATCTCACTTGCAGCCACCTAAAAAGGTTGCTGTCAACTAAAAAAATTTTGAAAATGTATTCATATATTTCAAAGGCAGAGCATCAGAGAGAGGGAGGAAGAGGCAGAGAGAGTGGTCTTCCATCTACTGGTTCACTCCCTAATAGCCACAATGGCTGGGGCTGGGCCAGACGGAAACCAGGAGCCAGGAACTCCATCCTGGTCTCACATATGGGTGCTCGGGCCATCAGGGTACATAACCTCCCCAGGGAGCTGGCTGGGAAGCCTAGCAGCCAGGATACCAACTGGCACTCTGATGTGGAATGCAGGTGCCCAAGTCACAGGTTAACAGGCTCTGTGCAAAACACAACACACCTGCTCCTTGTCTTGGCTTTTGACCCCGAGAGGGAACTTAACACCTTAGGCTTGTTTCACTGGTTCGTCAAATCAGCTAAGGAAAGCCACCCTTGCCTTTGTATCGAGCTACAGTAAGAGTAATTCTGTCTTTGATGCGTCTTGAATTCCCATGAATGTGGATAGGCCTACGTACATATAAAAGCCATGCACACACACATGTATAGGCATGTGTGAAGACATGGGCAGCGGCTTTTTGAGTCACTCCTTAATGGTTCCATCTCTGGGATAAGCCATGGAGAGAGAGAGCTTTACCAAGCAGTGTAACCATGACTCGATGAGATGGGTCAGTGTTTTTGATCTGCATTTGGGAGGGCCTCCTGGACATGTATTGGATCTATGTGAGCAGGTTAAGGACTGGCAGGGAGGATGGTGGTGGGACCAAGTCAGGATCGGAGCAGGGAGTTCCGAAAATTAGCCTGGGCTCTTTCCACATGCAGTAAACCTCAAGCCTCCCTAAACCCAGATGGAGTTCTGGGCGCCTGGTTTCAGCCTGGCCCAGCTCTGGCTGTTATAGCAATCTGGGGAATAAACCAGTGGGTGAAAGATCCATCTCTCTCTCTCTCTCTCTCTGTCCTTCTCTGTCACTCTGCTATTCACAAATATGAAAAAATAAACGAATATTTAAAAAAACAAAAGCCATGGAAGCCACAGGCCATCCCTGTGGAGGCTGCCATGCCCTGTGCCGAGTTCTCAGCCACATCCCAGCGGCTCACAGCAACAGCTGCACACAGGCCCTTCCTGAAAAGGGGCAGAAATTCACAGCCAACGGGCCCACCCCAGAGAGCACGGTTCGTCCAGCGGTTAGTTCCCCGTGCAGCCTCTCAGAGGTTCCCTGTGTGAGAACACGCGAAGCAGGAGGGAACCACTTCTGCATCGCCCAGGGACCAACATCAACGCTTTTGTTTAAAAGCCTTTCCAACGAGAAGATGCGAAGTCAGATGGCAAAGGACAATGCACAGGGAGAGGGCCTGTGGCTGACCCTCATCACTGCAACCCCTCACGGCCAAGGGTGGCCTCGGGACCTGGTCTGTGGGACAGGGGGGACCACATACTGACCCAGTGCCCACCCCTGTCTTTAAGGGTCACTGCAAAAAGCCGCCTCACTGTTGGGGATGTCATTCCCTTGGCCAACAAATTTTTGCCAGGAGCCACTGTGTGCCAAGCATTGCTTCAGGAGCCCTCTGGGAACCCGCGGCTGGCAGTGGATGGACAGTGACTGCAGAGCTGAGCATGGACAGGGCTGAGACAGTTAAGCCCAGGGCATTGTGGGAGCAATGGGGGTGGGGGCAGGCTGAGCCCCTCTGGATGTCTGTTCTAGGACACAACAAGCCAAGGCTGTAGAATATGGCAGCTCACAAAAAGACAGGGGCCAGGCTAAGACTTTGGGGGCTCACTGCCAAGTCGGGAGGGAGTGAATCCTGAGAATTTTAAAGCAGGGGCAGGGGACTGGGTAAAAAGTAGACAGAAATTGGTGGGGAAACAGACGAGAGAGGGTAAGCCCAGAGGAGAGAAGACAGTTAGGAAGCCACAGCTGAAAGCCAGAGAAGAGATGGCTGTGGCATGCGCATGGGGGAGCAGGGCTCAGCAGGGTGGGGGAGGGGGGTCGGCCAGGTGTCTGTGTCGGTTGGTGACTGGGTCATTCCCTGAGACGGGGGACACAGGCAGTGGTGTGCTTTGTGGGGCAAGGTCCATCAAGCAGACGGCTTGGATGTGTGGAACTCAAGGGAGCGATCCTGACTAAGAGGGGTCCTATAGGCGGTGGAGGCGGCGAGATGGCTCAGGGAGAATGCAAAGGGGCAGAATGCCGCAGACCCCAATGGCCGTGAGGAAGAGGGAGGCCCGGGACAGAGTGGCTGGTGGGACCAAAAGCAAGGGAGAAAAGCGCCAGGCTTATGAGAAGGCTGAGCGTGCCGGCACCCACCATCACTGTGAGGAGACCATCCTTGCAAGGCCATCCCGGGGTACCTCTCAGCCCACCCCCCATCACTATCTCGACCCAGGCTGGCAAACAACTCAACACCAGGCCTGTAGTCACCTTTGTCTGTAAATGACCATGATCTTTGAGAAACCAGACCCCCCCCCAAAATGTGTCTTGGGCAGCCAGGAAGATGATGGGGCCTTCGTTTCAGGAGGCTGAACCCCAAAACCAATGTGTGTCCCAGAGTGAGGCCTTAACCAGCCCAAGGCACCACATCTGCTCTAAGAACCACTGTCCTGCTGAGAACAGAGATAAACTCTTGTTTTCTCTTGTCCTACTCTTGTATTTAAGTTTTCTGTTCCTGAGGGCCCAAATTGTAATGCATCAAGCTAATCCAGCATCCCATATGAGCCCTGATTTGAGTCCTAGCTGCTCCACTTCTGATCTAGCTCCCTGCTAATGGGCCCTGAAAGGCAGCAGCAGATGTTCCAAGTGCTTGGGCCCCTGCCACCCATGAGGGACATCAGGACAGAGTACCTGGCTCCTGGCTTTGGCCTTGCCCAGCCTTGGCGATTGTGCATATGGAAAGTGAACCAGCAGATGGAAGATCTCTCTCTCTCTCTCTTAACTCTGCTTTTAAAAATCAATAATAAAAGGCGGCCGGCGCCGTGCTCAATAGGCTAATCCTCCGGCTGCGGCACCGGCACACCGGGTTCTAGTCCCAGTCGGGGTGCCGGATTCTGTCCCGGTTGCCCCTCTTCCAGGCCAGCTCTCTGCTGTGGCCCGGCAGTGCAGTGGAGGATGGCCCAAGTGCTTGGGCCCTGCACCCCATGGGAGACCAGGAGAAGCACCTGGCTCCTGGCTTTCGATCAGCTCGATGCACCAGCCGCGGCGGCCATTGGAGGGTGAACCAATGGCAAAAGGAAGACCTTTCTCTCTGTGTCTCTCTCTCTCACTGTCCACTCTGCCTGTCAAAATAAATAAATAAATAAATAAAAATAATAAAAGGCAATTTTTAAAAAAAATTATAAAGTCAAATTACTAGTCCTGGAGACTAGCATTGTAGTACAACTGCTTAAGCTGCCTACAACACCAGCTACCCCTGTGAGTGCCGATTTGAATCCTAACTGCTCCACTTCTGATTCATATTCTCTGCTAACGCATCTTGGAATGCAACAAAAAGACGGCCCAATGATTTGAGCCCTTGCCTCTCACATGGAAGACCAGGATGGACTTTCTGGCTCCCGGCTTCAACCTGATCCAGTTACAGCCACTGGAGCCATTTCAGGAGTGAACCAGCAGATGGAAGATGCTCTCTGTCGCTCTGTCTTTCAAATAAATACATCTTTTTGAAAAATCAAACTTCTGCCCCTTCGTTCCCTGGGAAGGGTGTTCCCACCCTAGGATCCCATTCCCCCCATGACACAGTCCTTTCCAGTCAGACAGCAGTGGAGAAAACCAACTGATGGCCTGGAGGCCACATCTGACCCACTCCAGGTTTTCTGTGATTCACAAGCCAAGAATATATGTTACACATACACTTTTGCAATCAACTTAATAACAGCAAACACTACTTTTGAAATCAAATTAAGGGAAATGTTATTCCCTATTCCTCTCCCCTCCAAAAAGAATTTCATTCTTTTCATTAGTACACCTCTACTGCCAAAAACTGTGCTCAAGTGCTATTGGTGGATTTTAAGTTTTGAGAGAAAAAAAAAAAGTCTATGGAAATTTTTTTGTCTTTTGCCAGCGTAAAATACCTACATCTTTAATTTTGCCTCTTGGCCTGCAAAGCCAAAAATCTTCACTGGGAGCTGTTTACAAAGCAAAGTCTGCCACCCCAAGGTCCAGTTACTGGGGATGCCTGAGCCTTCGACAGCTCACTCAGCTTCACCCTTGGGCTGGGACGCATGCTGGTGGGAGGAGGGCAGGGGAGGT